CACTCAGAAGAAAACAAAAGAAAAATCTTTGTCTTTCTCTTTCTCTTTTCTTGGTGCGGCCTGGCAACAGAGGCAACGCGCGTTGCGGCTGTCAGACTCCGGAGGGCGTGACACGAAGCGGCAGAAAGGGAAGAAAGAAGAACTGCGCGGAGGTAGTCGATCTGGCGCGTGATGGATCAAATCGACAGCTTGCGCGGTGGTGGGCTGGAGTTGGTGGCTCTCGTGAGGTACCACTCCATTCTTCTTCCCCGATCTATTTTGGCCTTCGTTCTTTGTCACCGTTTCATTTTTTTAAATTTATTATGCAATTTCTTTTTTATTGATGTTCTGTCCAACAACAAATAATAAGACTGATACTAAATTAAAAAAACAATAAAATAAAACAGGAGCAGCACCGGAGCGCAGCCATCCGAAGAGACAAAGCGTAGGGCGAGAGACACGATGGTGGCCGCTTCCTCGGCGCTCGAGCGACTCACCCCTGCGCTCAAGCCACACGACCCAGGCCTGGCCGACCGTACGCTACGCTGCCTCCTCTCTTCCCTCTTCCCTCTTTCCTCGGCCACATGCACTCACAAGTGCGTGGTGGTTGACCATCGTACATAGAATTGATCCGCAGCGTCTACGAGCTCCTGAAGAACGCGAAGGCGGCCATGGTTGCAGCGACCGTGCACTCAACACTCGTTGAACGTACGACCTCGTCTACAGTTCATTTCACGCACCAACAAGTTGTGGTGATGAACGGGAACGGGAACTGGAACGACCCGCACACGACACGACACGCACACGACCAACGACACGACACACAGAGACGGAATTGGCACGCAGGGCTTCAGAGGAACACCTGCGCGCCGCACACGCTCTGCTCACGCGCGTTCAGTCGCCGCGCAACGGCCTCGCCACCACCTCCCCGCGACCGCTGTCCCCTCGCTCCGCCTCTCCACCGCCCTTCTCGTCTCCGCGCTCTCCACTGCCACCTCAACCATCACCGTCACCATCCCCACCACCCGCACATTCACCGCGATCACCGTCGCAGCCGCTCTCGCCCCGCATCAGCCCCATGACCCCACCGCAACCGCTCTCGCTGCCGCTCGACCTGCCGCTGCCCGCCAGTCCGCGTGCGGCGTCGCCCCTGCCCTCTCCGCAGCGGCGGACGCCGACCGCACCGACGTCGGCGCACCAGCAGCAGCGCGTGGCACGGCCGTGGGAGGAGGAGGACCGGATCATAAGCGAGCGCGCAGTGGAGGGCGTCAGGAAGGCACTCCATGTGCTCAAGCTCCTCTCGTCTGCCGATGTCCGCGCTCACGCCAGGGTACGCGCCTCACCGATGCTTGCCTGCTCAGGTTTTTTTATAACTCCTATGTGAGTGTAATAGGAGATAGCGGAGGTGACGCGCGAGGGACTGTCGGACTTGACGCTGGTGGGCAACCGCGCGCAGGCCATCGGGCTGGAGCTGCCCGCGGCCACCCTCAAGGCCTCCTCCGCGCAGCTCACCCAACTCATCCGTCAAACGTGCGTCGTCGTCGTCTCTCGCCCCAGTCTACTGTGTGGTGTGAGCGTTGGTCACATTGATTCATATGTGAAAAATGCTGATGATGGTGTGGTGGTAATATTAGGCTGACCAGCGAGTACTCGGAGGAGGAGGGCGAGCGGATCGCCGGGGATCTGGCGCTGAGCGTGCGGGCCATCATGTTTTCTTCCTATTTTGCGTCTTCGCTCTCTCCTTCGTCTCCTCATTCACAGTCGCGCGGCGGCCTCGTCACTGGTAACCTGTCCTCTCTCACTGCCCATTTCTGCGCCAGTTGGCCTGCATTCTTTGCATACCAACCCATCAATAACCGCCTCTGTGCTCTGTGGTACAGAACCCAGGACGGTCGCGATTGCCGAGGTGGAGGGCAAGGGTAAGGAAAAGCTGGGCGACGAAGAGGTATATGACGACGGTGACGGTGATCGCAACCATGGTCGCTACGACGATCGTGTGGCTGCGGACCAGCCCGTGGCGATGATGCACGTCGAAGCTTGTGCGCCTCCGCCAGAGAGCAAGATGCCCGAGGGCAAGTCCCTCAAGGAGTCCTTCCGCGCCTACGAATTCCTCCTCGAGCGACGGAAACCGTATTTCCGCGAAGACGACGCTGATGATGACTTCAAAGGTGATCTTTCCCGTGCGTGTCGTGCGTGCCGTGCGTGTCGTGCGTGCCGTGTGCGTCGCGTGTGTCGTTGACAAGGAGTTGTTTCACGTGCAGCAAAAGCAGAGGAATCGGGCGGGAGGAACCGGGCGCGTTCGCTCTACATGGCCAAGTCCAACGTCGTCGACGCCACTAAATCGCCGTCGGAGGATACACCGAACAGTGACCCAACGCAGGAAAACAATGGAGGCGAGCTGACCGCTTCAAAGCAACAGCACCGCCTCACGATCAACCTGGGCGCCCTCGCTGCCCAGCGCGCCGGCAACGGCCAGCAGGACGGCGGCCTGCGCTCGTCGAACTCGATGCCAGAGCGCGGTCGGCCGGGTGCGAAAGACCTGCAGCCGGCGTCGAAGTCGGCGCGCGGGATGGCGTCGTCGCCGTCGTCATTCAAGCCGCCGGTGACCAGCGCGAGCGACGAGCGGGCGGTGGGCAAGCGACTCACCATCCGCAAGCCGGTCTTTCTCACCGGCTATCTCGACGCCACCCGCTTCTACATCGGCGGCACCATCAGCTTCCGCGTCATCGTCAACAACATGCACAAGCGACCAGGTAACACACACACACATACACCGCACTCATACAACGGTGCGTTGACGATGGTCTAGTGAAAGGGGTGATGATGAAGCTGTACAAGCACACGGCGAGCTTCAGCTACAAGCACAACAAGGCCACGGGCGAGAGCGAGCGGAAGGTGGAGTCGCGGCACAAGGTCAAGGTGGCCACCGAGCGGGCCACGCCGGCTGGCTTCCCGGTCGTCCAGAGCAAGCAGTGGACCGGCCTCGTTGAGTTCGCGCTGCCAGCGAGCCTGCCGCCATCCATCATCGCTGACGCTGCGGCCACCTACGAGATCGCCTACTCAGCCAAGGTAAAGCTCATACCCAAGAGCTGCGCTGTTGAGCTGGGTCCCTTTGAGCTGCACGACCCTTGAGTGCTGCCACTTTGATATTCAGCCACCTGCAAGCACAAGTGGTCTAGTGGTGGTTAAAAGAACACTTGTAAGGCACACTGTGATCAAAATTACGTGTGGACTCAAAGCCAAGCTGTCCAAACATATGTTTGCAGTGATGCCTCAGCCAGAAGCTCGCACCAGCCAGAGTCTTTACCCATGGGCAAGAGTGAGTAGAAGGATGATTCATGGCACAAGCTTGTGCCCAAGAGCTGTGCTGTCAAGTTTGAGCTGCAGTATCAGGCACCTGTACTGGTGGCAAGAACCCACTTGTGCGCAAAGTGTTGAAGAGCAGTTCACGAGAGGTGACAGCTTTATGCAGGTTTAAGCTGGGCAGCTTTTTCACACTTTCGCGTTGAATACCACAAAGGCACAAGGCACAAGATTGAGAAGAAGAAAACCACTGAACTGAACGAGGTTTGTGCACCTTCAGCTCAATGTTGCGCAGCGCGCCACCGCACAAACCACCAAAAAAGAACGAAGACAGCATCGCTCCCCCCCCCGTATCTCTTTCGTTCTCCATTTATTTATCGCTCTTCTTCTACTGCTTGTGTAAGGAAAAGATTACTGAATCATGTTGATCTTTATTGCCGTCTATCTAAATATCTATATATTTATCATCTTTTTATATATATTTATATATTAAAGAACAAAACCACACAAATAGATGGGAGCGAACAACAGCGTACCGGCAGAGCTGGCGGCGCAGTGCCACCTGTCGCCCGACCAGGTGAAGCATCTGGTGAAGGCCTTCCAGAAGAAGAACAAGAAGGGGAAGCCCATCAACAAGGAGGTCTTCATGCACGTGCTGGGCAAGCTCGACTACTCGCTGCGCGCCAAGAGCCCGCTGCTGGTCAACCACGAGAACCTCGACATCCTCTACTCCACCCTCGACGTCAACCACGACGGCACTCGTACGCATGGCGCCACTCCCACCACC